TGGGCTTCCAGCAATTTCGTGAGCGTTTAAAAAAGGAATGAATGGGACGAATGATACTTTGGGACAAGAAAGATCTGTTGGGGTGGGAACAGGGTAATATTTAGTGAAGGGGTTCAGGGAAAACCCGGTTTTTTTTCATATAGTCCCGGGCTTTATCCTGGAAATGGAAGTACCAAAAGCCTGGGAAATTTTTAAAAGGGGGGGTTTTTGGGGTATTGGGGAGTTTGGAGGGATATGTTTTGTAAAAATTTTTATGTTATGCTTCTAAACTGGTTTTTTAAATTCTTAGCACCCCCTGCCAAAAAAAAAGAAAATGGTTTAGTGTGGTGAAAAATGTTGAATGATGAATGAAATCAAATTTTTTTTTTTGGGGGTTTTTTTTTCTTTTTGAATCACCCGCCTCTTTGGGGGATGGCCACCTTTTTTTGGGAAAAAAAAAATTAAATTTTAAGAAGAAGAAGAAGAAAAAAGAAGAAGAAGAAGAAGAAAGAAGAAGAAAAGAAGAAAAGAAAAAAAAGAAGAAAAGAAGAAGAAAAGAAGAAGAAGAAGAAGAAGAAGAAGAAGAAGAAGAAAAGAAGAAGAAGGGAAGAAAAAGAAAAGAAAAGAAGAAGGGAAAAAAACATAAAAATAAAATTTCCCCTTTAAGCCCGAAAAACAAGCCTCATCCCAAACCCCCGACAGTGACGTGATAAATAGAATAACATTAATAAGAGCTGACATTGACCCAGCATACCTGATTGGGTTTGGGGAGGGGGTTTTAAAAGGGTTTTTTTGGTGAGGGGCTTGGACCTTTCCCGCAAGCGTGTGGTTGGAGGTGTTTTGATAGGAGTGAAAGGAGACGAATGGAAATTTTAGACCTGACGAGCTGTTTTGGGGTGTTAGCAGGTAATATATAGTTTAAGGGATTCAGGGAAACCGAAATTTTTTTTATATAGCCGGAAATTGAGTCCTTGGGAAAAGGGGGAAATACAAAGCTTGCACTTTAAAAGGGGGGGTTTGGGATACGGGAAATTTGGAGAGATGGGGTTTGTAATCTTTATACATATATGCCTAAAATGGGTTTTAAAACCCCAGCACCCCTTGCAAAAACAGGATTTTGGTGAGTGAGGGGAAAAATTTTTGAAGATAATTAAAGTATTTTTCCCTTTTTTGGGGAAATTTTTTTTTTTTTCTTTTTTTTCACCCTGGCCCCAGGGGGGAAACCCGGCCCCAAATTGTTTTAAAAAAAAAAAAACTGAGGGTGAGGTGAATTTAAAACTTGATAAGATTAAGGTGACATTTGATGAGGGGATCGGCCCCCGGCTTTGTTTTTCCGGGGGGTGGGAAAAAAAAAATGTCTGTCTTTGGTCAACCCCTGTCTATCTGTAGCTCTTGTGTCAGAAAAGCCAACAAAACTGCATCAAACAAAGTTTACTCACATTTTTCAAGCCCGAAATAAAGCACTTTGTTGGATTTTTGGAGTTTTCCTAGGTAAATTTTCACTATGTAAAACTTTTTATTTATTGTACCTTTAGACAGACACACAGACAGACAGAACATAAAAAAACAGAAAACCCCGCAAACCCAAAAAGGGACACCTTCCATCCCCACTTACGCCCCGGGCCGGGTTTTTAAAAAAAACCGTTTGGAAAACAAAATGAACGAAAAATTGAAAATTTAAATACTGAATATCAAAATCAACCCTTTTTTTTTTAAAGAATTTAATTTTTTTGTTTTTAAATTTTGGGATTTCCCTGTTTTAACTTACTTTTTTTAGCTGTTAGTTTCTGTATTTTTTACTAAAAGTTTAGGAAAACACTTTGTAAAAAACACAAAAAGTTTTTTTAATTTTCCCCCGAAATTTTGGGAAAAAAAAAAAAACCCGGGCCCTAATTCCCAGTGGTCGAAAATCGGGGTGGTCCCTAAGTCGAGCAGGTCTAAAATCGGGTGGTAGGTGTATTTCTTCCAGAAATTTTTTTTCTCTTTACTTAGGGGATAGGGTTTTAAAGACATTCTGGAAAAGGGGGTTGCACAAATGTTGCAAAATGGGTTAAAAATTTAAGTTTTTTTAAAATTTTTTTCGACCAAATTATGCCCCCATCCAAACCCCAAAACCAATTAAACTCGGGGTTTAACTCACTTTCCCCTTAAAATGGGAGAGTTTAAAACTACAAAGAAATCAGTGAATCCCCCGGTTTTTTGCCAAAGCTTTTTGCTCTTTCTGGACTCATTTTAACTGGGCTTCCCCCCAAAAATACAAAATTTGGGCCCCGATTTTTTTTTAATACAGTTTCACACTGATGTTATACCCATTCTATTTGACCAAGGGATCTTAAGGGCCCAAACCCCGGGGCCCTATTTGAAGGCAGGAAAAAAAAACTTGGGTATACGTTTGGGGCACAAACGGTAAGAACGTATTTATGTTTGGACCGTTTAAAGGGTTTTAAATTTTAAACTTGGGCCCAAAATCCAACCCGCACTTGGGCTCCCAAATCATTTTCCCAAAGTAAAAACTTACACAAGCCGATGGGTACACAAAACCCCCCCCAAAAACCCCCTAACAACCCCCCCAAACCTTCCTGGGAAAAATCCCAAACCCTTTCCCTTTCCTTTTCCAAACCCCAGATTTATACCCCCCCTTGGTTATCCTACTCTGTTTTCCTTTCCTCTAAAAGCCCACAAACCAACTACAAAACCTTTTTTCACCCCAAGAATTATGCCCTTTTGGGAACCCTACAACACTCTTTTAAATTTTTTTGTTCCAAATTCTCTGCCCGATAAATTTTTACCGCACAGCACCCTTTCAAACCATGAATTTCAACTGCCCCAAACCCTTTTCCTCAATTTTTATTATTTTTTTTTTTTTATCACACCGGCCGATTCCCAAAAAGGGAGGGTGGCCCGAAAAAAAAAAACTTTTACCATCAACACCCATCACTGTCTTCCAGAAGGGTGCTTTACACTACATTTTTTAAATGCAACATTAACACCCTCCTTCAGAGTGCAGGCACTGTACTCCTCATCCGGGTCAAGTCGGCCTCCGTTTCCTGAATCCCTTCATAAATGTTATTTGTCACACTCAACATCGAAGTATTAAAAACTTTGTCTCATTCACTCCTATCAAACACGCTCACGACATGCCTGCTGGAAGTCAAAAACCCTCGCACAAAAACCCTTTCCCCTCCTCCAACCCTCCTAGGCCGACCCCTACCGCCGCCTTCCTTCCTACCGATGACACTCTGAAGTCATCTGTTTCGTCATCTCTCTACAATGTCCGAACCACCTCAACAACCCTTCTCAGCCCTCTGGACTACAGTTATGAAATGCACAACCACATCCTCAAAACTTCTGAAATGTCTTCCTCGATTTATTCACACCACACATTGCCCCAGACATGACATCTCCACTGCCTCCGCCTTCTCCTCGCTGGCATTCATCCCCCACCGCTTCAACCCATAAGAGCGTTGAAAAATAATCTCATACATTCCCTCTTCACAAGAAAGTTCTTTGTCTCCACAGACTCCTAATGCACCACTCACTCTTTTTCCCTCTAAAAATCTATGATTCACTCATCCTACTAACCCTCCGCTGACACGTCCACTCCAATATCTGAATACGTTCACCTACTCCATACTCTCTCCCTCCAATGTTTCAATCTTATCAACCTAATTTTTTGTAATCCTATAACCTTACCTTTCCTGACTTTAATTTATTTCAAACCGTACCAAATCATCACCAATCTCTGCATTTCTTCAGAACTCCCAAGGAAGATTCACGGAAAGAGCACTGTGAAACTCCCACTTTGGTGGATTCTTTACTTTAACCCACAAGCCTTTGCAAGACCTCGCATTTGATTTGCTTACCCCTTTAATTATTAAACAACCACGGTGCATCTCACACCTGCAAAGGCTAATTTCAGGGAAAAAATTTCCATTTCACATACTCTAACTTGAGCCTCACTATTCCTCGTAAAAATCTTCACTGCTTTCAGTAACTCCCCATACCAAAAAAAAACATCTGCACATTGCCCCCCTATCCACCCTTATACGCCTTTTCCTAACATAAATGCCCAAGCCCTTTAGACTTTAAATACTGTTCACATATGTTTCAAGTAAAATCCCTGGCCAAACCCCCCTAAATTTCACTAAAGCCTCCTTGTTAATATGTTATTCTTTATCGGACTTACTTTATTCTTTCAATTATAAACTTACCATACACTATACCAGGTAAACTCAAAGTATTTTCCCTAAATAAATTTTTAAAGGCACTCTCTTTTATCCATAATGCTGGTTATAAAGGAACTATGCATGTCAATTGCCTTAAATCCTAGGTAGTTCCCTCTTCATACATTATTAAATAATTGCACCAACCATCCAAAACTATATCCCACCTGCTTTAAACATTTCTATCTGAATCCAAGCAATCTCGGCTGTTACCACTTCATTTTACCTTGCCTCACGAAATTTCCCAACACTACAACTGGTTCCTCAGTCTACAAGATGTTAAACCCCTTGCCATAACTAGAAATATAAGTTCCCTATCTTCAAAAGATTTAACAATTCCTCAAAAATATTCTTCATCATTCCAATACACTTAACTCTCCATTTAATAACTATCACTCTCCTACTTTTACTGACAAATACCAATTTTTTCTCTGGCTTTCTAACTTGTATAAATCTCACTCCAAAACTTTTTCTTATTTCACAAAAATTTGTTGTAACATCTCACACCTCTTCAATTGCTCTCTTTTTAAACATTGCTTCACCACTCTTTAAACTTCTCCTTTTCAACTTTTCTCCTCAAGTCATGCCTAATACCCTTAAATAAGTAAGTGATAGTCTTTAGTGCAGGAATCTCCCTTTTTAGCCTGAAGAGAAAACATCTTTCTTTCCATTCATGTCTTAACACACTACCTACCATTCCCACTATTTATTCAATGGTTCACCTCATCTTTTGCTGACACACTGTCTAAAGCTTCCTCTCTAAATTATGGATTAAACAGCTGCAAATATTACACTCACCTCATCTAAGGTCTCTTCTAAATAACTAAAATTCTTCCTGAGGGCACTGAAACTGTCATGCTGCTCCTTAAACTTATTATTAAAACTGGTAACAGTATCTGTTAATGTGGTGATCCTAGCATTAAGCACCTCTGTCATCTCCAAAAAATTTTGTTCGTACTTCCTACGCTCTGTTTCATTTGTTTTTGCTCTGTCTTCTGTTATTCTCAAAAGCTCTTGGAGATTAGTTTGCTCATTATAAATCTGAAATATATGTTAAAACTAAAACAGAAAGAAGTGCTGTACATACAAAGATAAAGAAAATGTAAGGAAATTAAGAAGAAAAGCCACATTATCATGGATGAAACAATTCACAACTAATCCACAGACGAGATGAAACTAGATTGCAGTGTAATCCATTCTGTCGCTATTGAGCCCACTCATGACTTATGACCTATGGTGAATCACAATGTAATCTATTCTCGTGGATCTACATGATATACTACCAACATTAGTATTATTCAATGAAGATCTAGGCATAACAAATATAAGTCCCGATAAAAGTGTGTTCTGAAAATGTCTTTTCTTCATCTAGTCTTATCCCTAATTTGTAGCTTATGGGTACAAATGAATGTTAGGCCTGGTCATGGACTGGGCTGCTGGGGCATTCACCCCCGAAACACTTCTAGGTATACTCCTACGGAGTTCGTACAGCACATGGGAAATAGAGGCAATCTCATTCAATCCAAGGAAGGTGAAGACAAGCCTAATTCCTTACATCAAGAGCTGATTTCTTTTTCTGTCTCATAAACACGCTAGATAACAGGGACATCTTGCTACTCCTACTTACACTTTGGTCACACTTCACAGACACGCACATGCATATATATATATATACATACATCTAGGGGTCGTCCTCGAAAGGGTTGGAGAGAGGGGGTAAAGGAGGTTTTGTGGGTAAGGGGATTGGACTTCCAGCAAGCGTGCGTGAGCGTGTTAGATAGGAGTGAATGGAGACGAATGGTACTTGGGACCTGACGATCTGTTGGAGTGTGAGCAGGGTAATATTTAGTGAAGGGATTCAGGGAAACCGGTTATTTTCATATAGTCGGACTTGAGTCCCTGGAAATGGGAAGTACAATGCCTGCACTTTAAAGGAGGGGTTTGGGATATTGGCAGTTTGGAGGGATATGTTGTGTATCTTTATATGTGTATGCTTCTAGACTGTTGTATTCTGAGCACCTCTGCAAAAACAGTGATAATGTGCGAGTGTGGTGAAAGTGTTGAATGATGATGAAAGTATTTTCTTTTTGGGGATTTTCTTTCTTTTTTGGGTCACCCTGCCTCGGTGGGAGACGGCCGACTTGCTGAAAAAAAAAAAAAATATCTAGGTTTTTCTCCTTTTTCTAAATAGCTCTTGTTCTTCTTTATTTCTTCTATTGTCCATGGGGAAGTGGAAAAGAATCTTTCCTCCATAAGCCATGCGTGTCGTATGAAGCGACTAAAATGCCGGGACCAATGGGCTAGTAACCCCTTCTCCTGTAGACATTTACTAAAAAAGAGAAGAAGAAAAACTTTATAAAACTGGGATGCTTGAATGTGCGTGGATGTAGTGCGGATGACAAGAAACAGATGATTGCTGATGTTATGAATGAAAAGAAGTTGGATGTCCTGGCCCTAAGCGAAACAAAGCTGAAGGGGGTAGGGGTGTTTCGGTGGGGGGAAATAAATGGGATTAAATCTGGAGTATCTGAGAGACTCAGAGCAAAGGAAGGGGTAGCAGTAATGTTGAAGGATCAGTTATGGAAGGAGAAAAGAGAATATGAATGTGTAAATTCAAGAATTATGAGGATTAAAGTAAAGGTTGGGTGCAAAAAGTGGGTCATAATAAGCATGTATGCACCTGGAGAAGAGAGGAATGTAGAGGAGAGAGAGAGATTTTGGGAGATGTTAAGTGAATGTATAGGAGCCTTTGAACCAAGTGAGAGAGTAATTGTGGTAGGGGACCTGAATGCTAAAGTAGGAGAAACTTTTAGAGAGGGTGTGGTAGGTAAGTTTGGGGTGCCAGGTGTAAATGATAATGGGAAACCCTATGATTGAACTTTGTATAGAAAGGGGTTTAGTTATAGGTAATACATATTTTAAGAAAAAGAGGATAAATAAGTATACAAGATATGATGTAGGGCAAAATGACAGTAGTTTGTTGGATTATGTATTGGTAGATAAAAGACTGTTGAGTAGACTTCAGGATGTACATGTTTATAGAGGGGCCACAGATATATCAGATCACTTTTTAGTTGTAGCTACACTGAGAGTAAAAGGCAGATGGGATACAAGGAGAATAGAAGCATCAGGGAAGAGAGAGGTGAAGGTTTATAAACTAAAAGAGGAGGCAGTTATGGTAAGATATAAACAGCTATTGGTGGATAGATGGGCTAATGAGAGCATAGGCAATGGGGTCGAAGAGGTATGTGGTAGGTTTAAAAATGTAGTGTTGGAGTGTTCAGCAGAAGTTTGTGGTTACAGGAAGGTGGGTGCAGAAGGGAAGAGGAGCGATTGGTGGAATGATAATGTGAAGAGAGTAGAAGGGAGAAAAAGTTAGCATATGAGAAGTTTTTACAAAGTAGAAGTGATGCAAGGAGGGAAGAGTATATGGAGAAAAAGAGAGAGGTTAAGAGAGTGGTGAAGCAATGTAAAAAGAGAGCAAATGAGAGAGTGGGTGAGATGTTATCAACAAATTTTGTTGAAAATAAGAAAAATTTTTGGAGTGAGATTAACAAGTTAAGGAAGCCTAGAGAACAAATGGATTTGTCAGTTAAAAATAGGAGAGGAGAGTTATTAAATGGAGAGTTAGAGGTATTGGGAAGATGGAGGGAATATTTTGAGGAATTGTTAAATGTTGATGAAGATAGGGAAGCTGTGATTTCGTGTATAGGGCAAGGAGGAATAACATCTTGTAGGAGTGAGGAAGAGCCAGTTGTGAGTGTGGGGGAAGTTTGTGAGGCAGTAGGTAAAATGAAAGGGGGTAAGGCAGCTGGGATTGATGGGATAGATAGAAATGTTAAAGCAGGTGGGGATATAGTTTTGGAGTGGTTGGTGCTATTATTTAATAAATGTATGGAAGAGGGTAAGGTACCTAGGGATTGGCAGAGAGCATGCATAGTTCCTTTGTATAAAGGCAAAGGGGACAAAAAAAAGTGCAAAAATTATAGGGGGATAAGTTTTTAGAGTGTACCTGGAAAAAGTGTGGTAAGTTATCATTGAAAGAATTAAGAGAAAGGGGAGAATAGGATGCAGATAAACAAGGAGGCTTTAGCTAAAGAAAGGTAGGGGTGTGTGGCCCAGGGTTTACAGTGAAAACAAAAGTGAACAGTATTAGTAAGGCTAAAGGGGTCTTTGTGGATTTAGGTTTTGGAAAAGGCGTATGACGGGTGGATGGGGGGGCAAGTGGCAAATGTTGCAGGTGTATGGTGTAGGAGGTAGGTTTGAAAGCAGTGAAGAGTTTTTTACGTGGATATGAGGTCAAGTTGGGGTATGTAAAAGGGGGGAAATTATTTCCCAGTAAAAGTAGGCCTTAGACGGGGATGTGGATGTACCCTGGTTGTTTAATATATTTATAGATGGGGTTGTAAGAAAGTAAAAGTGAAGGTTTGGCAAGAGTGTGGAGTTAAAAGAAAAAAAATCACACTAAAATGGGGGTTGTCACAGTTTCTCTTTGTGATGCACTGTGCCTTTTGGAGATTTTGAAGAGAAATTGCAGAGATTTGGGGATGAATTTTGGGAGGTATGCAAAAGAAGAAAATTAAAAGTGAATCCGGGAGTAAGTTATAATAACAAAAAAAATAGGGGTGAAAGATTGGGTTCAGATTGGGGGGGGGTATGGAGGAGGTGAAAGTATCAGTATTTTGGGGGTGGCGTGTCAGCGGATGGGCCCATGAAAGATGAGGTGAAAATAGAATTGATGAGGGAAAAGGGTGAGTGGTGCACTTAGGGTTGTGGGGGCAAAGAACTTTGTCCCCTTTGGGGGCAAAAGGGGGTGTTAGAGTAATTTTACCAACGCTCTTATATGGGGGGGAAGCATGGGTGTGAATGTTGCAGAAGGAGAAGGCGGAGGCATGGAGAGTCAGTCTGAGGGCAATGTGTGGTGTGAATATAAGCAGGGAATTCGTAATTTGGAATTTTAGGGGGAGGTGCGGGATTCCCAAAAATGTTGTCGAGGGTAGGAAGGGTTTTTGAGGTGGTTCGGAATGTGAGGAATGGGCGAAACAGAATGCCCTTCAAGAGTGTTCATTGTAGGGGAAGGGGAAGGCGGGGTGGGGGTCAGCCTAGAAAGGTTGGGGGGAGGGGTAAAGGGGTTTTGTGTTGAGGGGCTTGTTCCGCAGGCATGCGTGAGGGGTTTTTGAAGGAGTAAATGGAGACAAATGGTTTTTAATACTTGAACGGCGTTGGGGTGTGAGCAAAGTAAATTTATGAAGGGGGTTTGGGGAAAAAGGAGGCGGACTTAGTCCTGGAGATGGGAGTACAGGGCCGCATCTGAAGGGGGGGTGTTATTGTTGCAGTTTTAAAAAACTGTATGTAAGCCCCCTTCTGGCCCGACAGTGAGGGGAATGTGGTGAAAGTTTTTCTTTTTCGGGCCACCCTGCCTGGTGGGAACGGTCATTTTGATAAAAAATAATAATAATAAAGAGCCCTCACCGAATCAAAGAAATTCCCGAATTATTTTATACAGAAAGAGCAAAGCAAAAAGGTTGAATAATGGTTATTAGAACGTAACATGAGCACAGAAAAATTGTGCGGGCGTGTTAGATGAAGTGGAGGCAAGTGGTTTTTTTTATTTGAGTGCTGTTGGAGGTGAAAAAGGTAATATTTAGAGGGGTTCAGGGGAACTGGTTTGCCCGACTTTTTTAGACCCGGAGGTGAGAATACAGAACCTAGTTGGAAGGAGTTGGTGATGTTACAGTTTGGAAGTTTCCCGAAATTTGATGTTGGCACCCCTTTTTCAAGACAGTGATGAATAATGAAATGAAAAATGTTATTTCCCCTTTGGGGACCCACCCTCAGTGGGGGAAAAACTGTGTAAAAAATGAAAAAAAAGATTGGGAAAAAGGGGGAGAAAAAAAATTACATCACAAAAAAATGGTTCCAGAAAATGTTACAGGTAAGATCTTAAAATAAAAAACGTACAAAACGTCAGCCTGAAATACTTAAACAAAACTCAGTAGCCAAACTCATATTAAACAACTGAAAACAACCAGGGAACAGACAAGATTAAAATCAAGCAATCAACCCTACAACCAAGGTCAATATATAACCACTAGGATGCACCACATTATTATTCATCAAAAAAGGATGAAGAAAAGGGTGTTTTCAGATCGGGACCCCCGCATTTTTATTGGGATCACATAAGATTAATCCCCATCGCTTGCTTTAATCGCAAAAATTTGCCTCGCATACCCTTAAAAAACCGCTCACCGTGTTCGTCCCAGACACGCCAAAGTGCGCCCCTTTGTCAGCCTCACATGTTCCCCCGGTGGCATTGTTTACCAGCAGCCTCCGCGGTAGCATCCAAGCATACAATCGTAACATTTCGTATTATTACAGTGTTTTTGGTGATTTTATCTGGAAAATAAGTGACCATGAGCCCCAAGAAAGCTTCTAGTGCCAACCCTACAGCAATAAGGGTGAGAATTACTATAGAGATGAAGAAAAAGATCATTGATAAGTATGAAAGTGGAGTGCGTGTCTCCGAGCTGGCCAGGTTGTATAATAAACCCCAATCAACCATCGCTACTATTGGTGGTACAGCTGCTGCTGCTGCACTGTCAGCTGCTGCTGCTGCTGTAGCATCGTCTGCTGCTGCTGTAGCATCGTCTGCTGCTGCTGTAGCATCGTCTGCTGCTGCTGTAGCATCGTCTGCTGCTGCTGTAGCATCGTCTGCTGCTGCTGTAGCATCGTCTGCTGCTGCTGTAGCACTGTCAGCTGCTGCTGCAGCATCGTCTGCTGCTGCTGTAGCATCGTCTGCTGCTGCTGTAGCATCATCTGCTGCTGCTGTAGCATCGTCTGCTGCTGCTGTAGCACTGTCAGCTGCTGCTGCTGCTGTAGCATCGTCTGCTGCTGCTGTAGCATCATCTGCTGCTGCTGTAGCATCGTCTGCTGCAGCTGTAGCATCGTCTGCTGCTGCTGTAGCACTGTCAGCTGCTGCTGCTGCTGTAGCATCATCTGCTGCTGCTGTAGCATCGTCTGCTGCTGCTGTAGCATCGTCTGCTGCTGCTGTAGCATTGTCTGCTGCTGCTGTAGCATCGTCTGCTGCTGCTGTAGCATCGTCTGCTGCTGCTGTAGCATTGTCTGCTGCTGCTGTAGCACTGTTGTTGGTGTGGCTTATTGAGAATATACCAAGAAACAATTAACCCCAGAGGATTTGCCACCCAGGATAACCCAAAAAAGTCAGTGTCATCGAAGACTGTCTAACTTATTTCCATTGGGGTCCTTAATCTTGTCTCCCAGGATGCAACCCACACCAGTCGACTAACACCCAGGTGAACAGGGAAAAATGCCTGGAACTAGTGCTCATATTGGTGAATTTAAAGCCAGCAAAGGTTGGTTTGAGAGATTTAAGAATCGTAGTGACATACACAGTGTGATAAGGCCAGTTCTGGAAGAAAATGCCAAACAGGACCTACAGTACTCAGGAGGAAAAGGCACTCCCAGGACACAGTGTCTCATCAGTCATTGCAGCATCTTCAATAAAGGTAAGTGTCATTTATTCTTCATTTAGTAGACTAGTACATGCACAATATATACTGTGCATGTACTACTCTACTATTGTGCATGTATCCTTCTCTTTGTGTGTAGGAAAATGTATATTTCACGTGGTAAAAATTTTTTTTCCATACTTTTGGGTGTCTTGCACGGATTAATTTGATTTCCATTATTTCTTATGGGGAAAATTCATTCGCATACCGATTATTTCGCATACCAATGAGCCCTCTTGCACGGATTAAAATCGGTATGCGGGGGTCCACTGTACTTGGGAGTTGACGTGTCGGCGGATGGATTTATGAAGGATGAGGTTAATCATAGAATTGATGAAGGAAAAAAGGTGAGTGGTGCGTTGAGGTATATGTGGAGTCAAAAAACGTTATCTATGGAGGCAAAGAAGGGAATATATGAAAGTATAGTAGTACCAACACTCTTATATGGGTGTGAAGCTTGGGCTGTGAATGCAGCAGCGAGAAGGCGGTTGGAGGCAGTGGAGATGTCCTGTCTAAGGGCAATGTGTGGTGTAAATATTATGCAGAAAATTCGGAGTGAGGAAATTAGGAGGTGTGGAGTTTATAAAAGTATTAGTCAGAGGGCTGAAGACGGGTTGTTGAGGTGGTTTGGTCATTTAGAGAGAATGGATCAAAGAAGAATGACATGGAGAGCATTTATATCTGTAGGAGAAGGAAGGCGGGGTAGGGGTCGTCCTTGAAAAGGTTGGAAGGAAGGGGTAAGGGAGGTTTTGTGGGCGAGGGGCTTGGACTTCCAGCAGGCGTGCATGAGCGTGTTCGATAGGAGTGAATGGAGACGAATGGTATTTGGGACCTGACGATCTGTTAGTGTGAGCAGGGTAATATTTAGTGAAGGAATTCAGGAAAACCGGTTATTTTTATATAGCCGGACTTGAGTCCTGGAAATGGGAAGTACAATGCCTGCACTCTAAAGGAGGGGTTTTGGGATATTAGCAGTTTGGAGGGATATGTTGTGTATCTTTATATGTATATGCTTCTAAACTGTTGTGTTCTGAGCACCTCTGCAAAAACAGTGATTATGTGTGAGTGAGGTGAAAGAGTTGAATGATGATGATGAAAGTATTTTCTTTCTTTTTGGGTCACCCTGCCTCGGTGGGAGACGGCCGACTTGTTGAAAAAAATATATATACTCTAAGAGAAGTTAACATAAAAAAAAAAAACTTAAACAGAAACAAATCAAGATTTAAAATGAGAGCACTGGGACATGAAGAGGTAGTTGTATGGAGTTAATAAGCACAAAGGAATTGCATAAAAATAATATAAAATTAACCAAAGAATAATGTGCAATCACAACATGAAAAACAACAATAATGCTAAGTTTTGTGGAAAAATTAACTCTACATAGCACTTAGTCCATGCAAAGGTACAGTAAACTCTCTCACAACATGCGGGATATGGGCCTAAAAATTAGCAGCTTATGAAAAAGTGTTATGCAAAGCGAAAAATAGGGTTACATCCCAGCATTTAACCAAAATCACTGTTGTCTTATGTTATGAGAGGGTTTACCATATATTAAATCATTATAACAACCTGAAGGTATTCAGTATGTATATTTTCCAGCTCTGCACTGATGAATTCCTTCTCTTTACAAACTTCATGAAACGTCTCTATGTCAACCATTGTCTTTTTTGCAGTCTGCAGGGCTCTCATTGCGGAGTCTAACTCCTCCTTCACCTTATCTAGCTCAGATTTAACTGCTCCATAATCCTGTGCCCTGTGAGTAAGGAAAAAATATATTAATGAAATACTACATTCAATAATAACTTTTAAAAATACATGAACAATGTTAGCAACAAAAAAAAAATAAATTCTTCTTCTTTCAACAAACCAGCCATATCCCACCGAAGCAGATTGGCCCAAAAAGAAAAAGTTTCTCTTTTTAACTTTAGTAACGTATACAGGAGAAGGGATTACTAGCCCCTTGCTGATGGCATTTAGTCACCTCTTACGACACACATGGCTTAAAGGAAGAATTCTGTTCCACTTCCTCATGGAGGTAAGAGGAAACAAACAAGAACAAGAACTAGTAAGAAAATAGAAGAAAACCCAGAAGGGTGTGTGTATATATACACTTATACATGCATGTGTAGTGTGACCTAAGTTTCAGCAGAAGTAGCAAGATGTACCCGAAATCTTGCATGCTTATGAGACAAAAAAGACACCAGTAATCCTACAATAAATGTAAAACAATTACAGGCTTTCATTTTACACTCACTTGGCGAGACAGCAGTACTTTCCTGGGTGGTTGCTGTCTACCAACCTACTACCTAGGAAAAATAAATTAGAATTAAAATATGGTAGGTAAGAAGTTGGTAGACAGCAACCACTCAGGGAGGTACTACCATCCTGACAAATGAATGTGGCATGGAAACCTGTAATTTATTGACACAGTGCTAGGATTGTTGGTGTCTTTTCTATCTCAAACATGCAATTTGGCAGATACATCTCTCTACCTCTATTTACACTTAGTTCATACTACACCTGCATGTACGTACATGTATGTGCATACACACCTATCTGAGATTTCTTCTATTTTCTTAATAGTTCTCGTTTTAATATTATTTCCTTTCATCTCCATGGGGAAGTCGAAAAGAATCGTTCCTCCATAAGCCAAGCATGTCATAAAGGGTGACTAAAAAGCTGAGAGCAAAGGGCTAGTACCTCTCTCCTTGTATTAATTGCTAAATTTAAAAAGAGGAACATTTCAAAGTTAGGATAGAATGTGCATGCATGTATTACAGATAAGAAACAGTTGATCATGTATGTCCTAGCTCTAAGCAAAACAAAGCTAAAGAGGGAAGATTTTCACTGAGGATAAATAAATGGGATTAGGTCAGGAGTGCCTGAGAGAATTCAAGCTAAGGACTAGCAGAATATTGAATGATCAGTTATGGTAGGAAAAGAGCGAATACAAATATATATATAAATTCAAGGATTATGTGGATTAAAATATGGGTATGATGCAAGAGAGTGGGTTATGTTAACTCTTTCAGGGTTGGGACCCCTGCTCTCAGGGTAGAAAATTAAAAAAAGAAAAAAAAAAAATTTAGGAAATCCTAGAGAATCTTTTTCTGAAGGTAATAAAACAAAAAGTACCAAATTTGATGGAAAACTGATGAAATTATGCTTTTGCAAATTTTGCTGCCAGCGACATTTATGCAGCGGCGATTTTATCCACTTTGAATCCGATTTTAGGACAATTACATTGTTCCAGTCGACCAAATTCTTAGCTATTTTACCAGTATGCCTTCCATTCTATCAACTGAGTACCAGGAACTGCCCATTCAACCACCCAATAAAGTGATCAGAAATTGGTAATTTGGCCAATTTCACACAAAATTCAAGAAATGTCAGTATCAAAATGGGGTCCAGAATAAACAATGAAGACATTCTTGGCACTAAAGTAACATTTTCTCACTTCATTAGTTACACCTGCAGGCCTCTCCAATATTTCATATTAATTCCATTTAGAATTTTATTCACACTGTTATACTAATTGTATAAATAATGTCATTGCATTCATATATACATATCAGACTGGCCAAACGGACATGTATTGGATAAGCGATGTCATTTGTGTACTCTGGAATATCGGCAAAAATTGAACATTTCAGTGTTTTTATTCCCATTATGCACTGCTTGTTGCAGGATTTTTTATATGGGGCACACGTACTGCACAGACCCATTCTCTCATATCTAGGCCCAAATATACCGCTCACAACTTATCTGAGTGAGCTGAGCTCATGGTGTAGAACTATAGAACTGACCTTGTCTTCCTAGCCGCAGTTCTATGGGACCCACCCTCAAAGGATTAAGTGTGTATGCATCTGGAGACAAGAAAGTGTAGAAAAAGATTGATTTTGGGAGATCTTAAGTGAGTGTTTAGGACTTTTAAAAAAAACCAAATGAAAAAAGTAATTGTTGTGAGGGACTTTCAATGCAAGGGAAACCAAATGTTACAGGGGGTTTAGTAGGAAATTTTTGAAGTTTTTTCCGGAAAATAAATGATAACTGGGGGGGCCCTTTAAATTAAAATTTTATGTAAAAAGACGTTTGAAAAGGGGGTAATCAAAAATTTAAAGGGAAAAAAAAAAAAAAAAGGAAAAATTTAAGTAAAGTAAGTCCCAATACCCAATTGCCCGGGTTTTCTTGAAACTGCACTTCAAGCAAAACCCGATCATATAAACATCATGGGTGCAAAAGGGGTACCTTGAGCACGCATTGCAACGGGGTTTTAAATAAAAGGAAAAAAATTTTTGAAAAGGGAAAATTTGAAAAGGAGCACCACCTACCACCACCATTTTCAAAAATAAAATGAAACAAATTCCACACAGGACTTTTACCCTGGGGGGGGAATAAATTTTTTTTTTCTCATCATTATAACAAAAGGGACTTTTAAGGGGGGAAACTTACGGGGCCAAGATAAAAAATGGGGCATAATGACAGCATTTTAAAGAGTATTACAGTGATCCCTAAATAACCCGCCATAAACCCCATTCCGGGAAAAGTGGGACAATTATCGAAAGGGGACATTTTCGAATAAAATTTTCCCCATAAGAAATAAAGGGAAAAATAAAAATTTAATTCGTTCCAGACCCCTTTGAATTTACAACAACAATTTTTTTTTTTACCTAAAAGATAGTTTACATGCACAAAAATGCCCAAATTCAACATGACAGTTACCCTTATTGAAAGCTTTTTGTTGATGAAGGGAAATGGGGGGGAAAGGGGAGGGGGAAGAGAGGTTATTTGGAAGGGGAATCCCTCTCCAAAAGACTCTAGGGCACAAATAAAATGATAAATAAAAAATTTGGAAAAAGGGGAAATTTTCATGATGGAACGGTCTGCCTATGGGGTTTATGGAAGCTAAAACTTTGGGGTAGTTTAAAATTTGGGTTTTGGAAAAATTACACGAGTGGGGGGGTTGGATTTGAGTGGGGACCCACCCGGGACTTTTTTTGTTTGGGTAGCTTTTGTTCTGTTAGTTTTTTGGGTTTTGGGGAACCCCCAAAGCCAATTTAGGCCAACAGGCTATTGCAGTGTTCCCCCTTTTCCAATGCCCTAAAAGCTTTTGGCGGGGTAGTTTCAAAATTAAATTTTGGAAAAATACACATTAAAAGGGGGTTTTTGGGATTTGAGCTGGACTTGCCCGAGTTTTTGGTTTGGGGTAGCATTTTTTTCTGTTTTGGGGTTTGGGTTTTGTAAGGGCCCCGGCCTAGTATGGGCCAGCGGGCCTGTTCCAGTTTTCCCCTATTTTCCCTTTAATTCTTATTTAAAATCACACTTACCAGAAAGGGTGACGGGGCTGGGACCTTGGTACCCTTTCAAGAAGAGTTTGGGAAACAAATATACGATTGGAGGACCCGATTTTTGATTTGTGTAAAGGGGAAACGGGAGTAAATTCTTGGTAGTTTTGGGTGGGGGTCTTTTTGATAAGGCCCCTCCCTTTGTATGGGCCAGTAGACCTGCGTTTTCCCCTTTCCATTGTTGTTTTACTGGCTTTTTATTTTGTGAGGGGGGGATGGAAGTTTATTTGGGAGAATATGACACTAATATCAAATCTTAAAGGCTTTTTTTATCTATCACAATTCAACAATATTACATAATAAAAAAATATTAAAAAACAAAAAACATGGAATAAACTAGAAAAAAAAAAAAATAAGTCATTACATGTCACGAGAGGGTTGTGTTGTTTTTTGGGTAATAAGGGCCACTGAGTGTAAGGGCCCTCCATAATGGTTGGGGAGGCCGGCGGGGGTTTTTTGGGAGCCCTATATAACTCCAACAACATTGGAAGTTTTGGGAGAATCGCTGAATCAAAGAAGAAGGAACCCCCTAAAACCATCAAATACGACCTTTTAACCCCCTATTTCAACTATTAAAAACCATCACTACACCCCTTTTACCACCATTACTACCACCAAAGAAAACTTCTAGGCCAGCCCTTGGTAAAAAAATGTAGAAACACCTAATTTTGAAAAAGTTTTAGAAAAAAAACAAAGAAGGGGGGTGGTAGAGTTGGGAAACAAATTTTTGATAGTGGGTTTAAGAAACCCTAAAATTAAGAACATAAGAAAGGAGGATCACTGCAGCAGGCCCGTTGGCCCATGCCCCCGGCCCGGTCCTTTACAATTCATCCCACTAAAGAAACATTGTCCCAACCCAGTCCTCAAAGCTAAACCCCAAAAAATAAGCTCTTAAAAACTCTATCCGCTCAATTTTCCCAAATCCCAAATGAGTTTGGGTAGAGTTTTTCAGGCTTATTTCTTGGGTAGCATTGAGGACCGGGTTGGGAAAATGTTTTGTTAGTGGGATGAATTGAAAAGGACCTGCCGAGCATGGGCCAACGGGCCTGCTGCAGTGATCCTCCTTTCTTATGTTCTTATATTCTTATGTTCATCAACCACTATCACAAGCTTCACTTCCCACCACCATCTTTGAAATTTTTCTACAAACTTTTTCATAAATTATGTGTTTCTCAAAATTCTTTACCAAAGGGCTGGCACTAGAAGCTTTATTTGGAGCCATGGTAGCTTATTTAGCACTTGCAAGCACTAAAATCAATGGAATATTATGAAATATTTCGTAGGAGCATGTGAGGGGACAGTCACTCACTGGTAAACAATGGCACACTGGCTGGGAAGGAAAGGCCGAGGCAGCTCAGAGCGTGAGTACGCGTCCAAGATGAAGGACTATGAGGACTATTAGCGAGTTACCGGACCATTTGCGAGCCAATATTTTGACGAAAAAACAGGACTATTTCCGAAATGGACGACTTTCAGGCCGGACGATTATTGAGGGACCACTGTATTAGCAGATAAAAGGCTGGTGCAGGGTTGCTAAAAGTATTATCTAGAGGGCTGAGGAGGGAAGTTTTGACAGAGAGGATGGCAAAAAAAGGATGACTTGGAAGGTGTATAAATCTGTATGGAGGGAAGGTGGGGTAGGGGGACAAGTTGGAAGAGGTAAAGAAGGTTTTGTATGAGAGGGAGACTGGACATCCAACAGGCTTGTGTGAGCATTAGACAAGTGAGTGCAAGCAAGTGCTTTTTATGACATATTGTAGGAGCATGAACAGGGTAACATTACTGGGATCATTTTCCTAGTGGCCTAGTTTCAAACCACACCTCCTAAATTGGAAAGGAAATAACTTATTATTAAGAATTGAAAAGTTCACAGGAAAGAAAAGATGAGTATACTAAATGTTGGTAGGAGCTTGCAAGATTTGCCTCCCATATTACTTGTTCAAGAGAGAAACTCGGCAATACTGCTTGTGTAAAACATTTACCAAGCTTCTGTTTCACTCTCATATAAAAGGACAATACTACCTCCATAGTAAATAAATTATTAGTATAGTATTTACAATTTTGTGTGCTTCACCACAAGCTCTTCATATTCAGTTTCTGCAGTGTGTTGTCCCATTTCCTGAAGCATCTTATGTGATACCCTGAGATGTTCCAGTTCCTCACTCTTCTCTGTCAGAGATGACTCCAACTGCTTGTGGCTTGAAACCATTTCCTCGTATTTGCTCTTCAATGCTACACTGGTTTCCCGCAAGGTTTCTATATTGTCCCTGAAATAAGATAAACTATAAGTACACAATACTGATGCTCGAACAAATCACAAATAACCCACACTTGGGTTAGAAAGCTTATGATGACATTTTGGTCCATCCAGGACCATTGTCAAGTCACAAATGTGACTTGACAATGGGTGAGGATGGAGAAGAATCCTTCCTCCATAAGCCATGCACATCATAAAGAGATGGCTAAAATACCAGGAGCAGGGGCTACTAACCCTCTTCTCCTGTGTAAATTACTAAATGTAAAGAGAAAACTTCTTAAAAGTTTTTTTTTTTTATTTCTAGTCACTACCCCAGTAGGAGATGGTCTGTGTTAAAAAAATTACTATTTCATAATTACTAAGAGGAAGTGTAAGTCTAAAGGTGGTCATTCTGCACTTGAGGAACCAAAAATAAACAGGTTTCATCCAAGTAAGAGATTACGTCTTACTTCCTCCTTTAAGAGAATATGAGTGCTGATACACAAAACATGCATTATAATAGAAAAGTAGCACAATCCTTACAAAATCGCCTACCTTCGACATGAAGGTATGTATGGGGCGATACCAAAATTTTAGCAGATAACGAAACGGAGAATTTTAGGCCAATAGATACACCATCAAAATTGGCTGATACCCATCATCATCATCACAATTAGCACATACATACTTACTAACACTCAACTTTGGGCCAATGATGATATAAAAATTAGCCTATACAGCGGATACCAATACTTCGGTACATCACTAGACAAGATATACCGTTAACAAGCTTGAAGAGTTTTCCTGGTCCTGGGCTAGGTTTATCTGGCTAAATAGAAGCCTCTACTTCCACCGTCTTTCCTTTCCTCCCCTATTCCCTTTTCTATCTCCTCTATACACCCTTCCTCCATCCCTTAATATCCTTGTCCCTCCTTTCCTTCTCTTCCTTCACTCACTACTAAGAGAGGACATGAAAAAATGAATGAATTGTAAGTAAACATTTATGGGTCATTAAAAAATATAACCAGGTTAACATTTATGAAACTATTCAGGGAAACAGGCAGGCCGGACTCGAGTCCTGGAAATGGGAAGTGCAGTGTCTGCACTCTGAATGAGGGGTGTTAATGCTGCAGTTTTATAGTGTAGGCGTGCCTCTGGCAAGACAGCGATGGAGTGAATGATGCTGAAAGCTTAACTTTTTCAGGCCACCCTACCTTGGTGGGAAACTGCCAATGAGTTAAAAAAAAAAATGAAGAGCTCTTATACCATCTTCCCAAGAGATTACTTCATTGCAGAAAGAGAAAAGAGGTAAACAGAGGCACAATGGGGAAAAGGAGCAAGAGTCTAGGAGTCAATCCCAGATGACAAATATTTTACTAATTATACAGCAAGAGGGCTAATCATTGGAGGCCCTTATAGTATATGTAGGAATCCCACTAAACAGATGTCCCAAACAATAATAATCAAACCAATTATTATATTTTTTTATTTTATTATCACACCGGCCGATTCCCACCAAGGCAGGGTGGCCCGAAAAAGAAAAACTTTCACCATCATTCACTCCATCACTGTCTTGCCAGAAGGGTGCTTTACACTACAGTTTTTAAACTGCAACATTAACACCCCTCCTTCAGAGTGCAGGCACTGTACTTCCCATCTCCAGGACTCAAGTCCGGCCTGCCGGTTTCCCTGAATCCCTTCATAAATGTTACTTTGCTCACACTCCAACAGCACGTCAAGTATTAAAAACCATTTGTCTCCATTCACTCCTATCAAACACGCTCACGCATGCCTGCTGGAAGTCCAAGCCCCTCGCACACAAAACCTCCTTTACCCCTCCCTCCAACCCTTCCTAGGGCCGACCCCTACACCCGCCTTCCTTCCACTACAGACTGATACACTCTTGAAGTCATTCTGTTTCGCTCCATTCTCTCTACATGTCCGAACCCCCTCAACAACCCTTCCTCAGCCCTCTGGACAACAGTTTTGGTAATCCCGCACCTCCTCCTAACTTCCAAACTACGAATTCTCTGCATTATATTCACACCACACATTGCCCTCAGACATGACATCTCCACTGCCTCAGCCTTCTCCTCGCTGCAACATTCATCACCCACGCTTCACACCCATATAAGAGCGTTGGTAAAACTATACTCTCATACATTCCCTCTTTGCCTCCAAGGACAAAGTTCTTTGTCTCCACAGACTCCTAAGTGCACCACTCACTCTTTTTCCCTCATCAATTCTATGATTCACCTCATCTTTCATAGACCCATCCGCTGACACGTCCACTCCCAAATATCTGAATACGTTCACCTCCTCCATACTCTCTCCCTCCAATCTGATATTCAATCTTTCATCACCTAATCTTTTTGTTATCCTCATAACCTTACTCTTTCCTGTATTCACCTTTAATTTTCTTCTTTTGCACACCCTACCAAATTCATCCACCAATCTCTGCAACTTCTCTTCAGAATCTCCCAAGAGCACAGTGTCATCAGCAAAGAGCAGCTGTGACAACTCCCACTTTGTGTGTGATTCTTTATCTTTTAACTCACGCCTCTTGCCAAGACCCTCGCATTTACTTCTCTTACAACCCCATCTATAAATATATTAACAAACCACGGTGACATCACACATCCTTGTCTAAGGCCTACTTTTACTGGGAAAAAATTTCCCTCTTTCCTACATACTCTAACTTGAGCCTCACTATCCTCGTAAAAACCTTCACTGCTTTCAGTAACCTACCTCCTACACCATACACTTGCAACATCTGCCACATTGCCCCCTATCCACCTGTCATACGCCTTTTCCAAATCCATAAATGCCACAAAGACCTCTTTAGCCTTATCTAAATACTGTTCACTTATATGTTTCACTGTAAACACCTGGTCCACACACCCCCTACCTTTCCTAAAGCCTCCTTGTTCATCTGCTATCCTATTCTCCGTCTTACTCTTAATTCTTTCAATTATAACTCTACCATACACTTTACCAGGTACACTCAACAGACTTATCCCCCTATAATTTTTGCACTCTCTTTTATCCCCTTTGCCTTTATACAAAGGAACTATGCATGCTCTCTGCCAATCCCTAGGTACCTTACCCTCTTCCATACATTATTATAATAATAATAATAATAATAATAATAATAGAGAGAAGGAGATTACTTTCCAGTATAAGTAGGTCTCAGACAAGGATGTGTAATGTCACCATGGTTGACATATTTAAAGATGGGTTTGTAAAAAGTGAATGCTAGGGTGTTGGGGAAAGGGGTGGGATTAAATTATGTGGAATCTATTACAAAATGGGAGTTGACGCAGTTACTTTTCATTAATGATACTGTGCTTTCGGGAGATTCTAAAGAGAAATTGCAAAGGATGAGTTTGGGAGGGTGTGTAAAGGAAGAAAGTTGAAAGTGAACATGGATAAGAGTGAGGCAATGAGAGTATCAAATGAGTCAGTTAAAGAAAAAATGGATATCACATTGGAGAGATGGAGTATGGAAGATGTGAATGTGTTCAGATATTTGGGAGTAGACTTGTCAGCGGATGGGTTTATGAAGGACGAGGTAAACTATAGAACTGATGAAGGAAAAGGGTCAGTGGTACATTGAGATATGTGTGGAGACAAGAAAGGAATGTATCAGAGTATAGTTGTACTAACAATCTTATATGGGTGTGAAGCATGGTATGTAAATGCTACAGCAACAAGGAGGCTGGAGGCAGTGGAGATGTTGTTTCTAAGGGCAATGTGTGGTGTAAATATTATGCAGTGAATTCATAGTGTGGAAATTAGGTGGTGTGGAGTTACTAAAAGTATTACTCAGAGGGCTGAGGAGCGGTTGTTGAGGCGATTTGGTCATCTAGAGAAGATGGAACATATAAATCTGTAGGGGAAGGAAGGTGGGGTGGGGGTCATTCTAGGAAAGGTTGGAGGGAGGGGGGTAAAGGAGGTTTGTAAGCAAGAGGCTTGGACATAGAGCTAAGCTTCCATATCCTGTTAGCTCAGCAGCAAGCTGTCATATCCCGTGAGCGCAGCAGTAAGCCGACAGGTCCATGACAGGCAGATTCTTTTCAATTGCCTGCTTGCAGGCCTGCCTTTGATCACTGAATCTAAAACCTTAGTTTGATTTAAAATAAGTTGGACAAATATACAAGCAGCAAAAGTTGAATATGATTAGAACTTGTCTATTGTGGATTAAGAGGCCTCCTGCATTGCTCTAGTCTTGTGTCATATAATGGTTGGACGAAAGATCTGCCTAGCATCGGCCAATAGATGTACAGCAGTGATAAGGGTGGGATTTCAGAACCTGTCTAGCATGGGCCAGCAGGTATACTCCAGAGCTCCTTCATTCTTAAGCTCTTACTTACCTTTTTCATTATTTTGAATTATTTTTATGTAATTTTCATAGTATGAACTCATAAGAAGCAGGGTACAACTGTAGACACACAATGCAACTTATGACTGGTAATTTTTTTTTTTTTCAACATGTCGGCCATCTCTCACCGAGGCAGGGTGACCCAAAAACAAAGAAAATCTCCAAAAAGAAAATACTTTCATCATCTTTCAACACTTTCACCTCACTCATACATAATAACTGTTTTTACAGAAGTGCCCAGAATACAACACTTTAGAAGCATAAATGTATAAAGATACACAACATATTCCTCCAAACTGCCAATATCCCAAACCCCTCCTTTAAAGTGCAGGCATTGTACTTAGAATTTCCAGTACTCAAATCCAGCTATATAAAAATAACGGGTATCCCAGAATCCCTCCACTAAATATTACCCTGCTCACACTCCAACAGCTCATCAAGTCCCAAATCACATTCATCTCCATTCACTCCTATCTAACACGCTGGAAGTCCAAGCCCCTCGCCCACAAAATCTTTTCGACGATGACCCCTACCCCGCTTTCCTTCTCCTACAGATTTGTATGCTCTCCATGTCATTCTACTTTGATCCGTTCTTTCTAAATGACCAAACCACCTCAACAACCCCTCTTCAGCCCTCTAACACTTTTATTAACTCCACACCTTCTCC